AACTTGCAGGTAAAAAATCGGTTATAAGTAAACAAATAAAATAGGACGTGAAGATCGTGAAGGGTGTTCGAAACCCGTACGTTACTGGAATATGGTGCTCATCAGTACAGGTGCTAATTATTTTATTCTTTTATTATTTATTTTTTTCTTATTTATAGTAGAGGTTCTATTCCATCTCAGCATCACAATCGTGAATTATCATAACTATATCTGCCTATAAGAAAAACCACCAGTGCTTCAAACATGTCTACAAATATGAACCACATTGCAAAAAAAAAATAGAATAAAACGGTGGTTGGAGCAAAACCATTTTTTATTAATATTGCTAAAAATTAGATGATTTCTTAGAAAACAATTGAATAAGCGAAATGCATTGAAGTGAGAAAGGAAAAAAAGGGTAGCTCAGCTTCCGTTTCGCAGATGCCCTTGACGAGTGGCGCAGATGCCATTCCATTCAGAAATCACGTTTGTCGTTTTTTGGCATTTTCTACATTCCTTTCTTCACATTACTATCTGTCATTTGTTTAAATACTTTTTGCATGTAAAAATATGAAAAAAACGGGAAAAAACAGGACAATATGCGTGCGCACTCACAGAACGGTACGAATTACCAAAAGTAGTAGTCTTAGCGCATCGAATTTGCTGACGTTCTTGTTAAGTATTTACAAGCTTTATTGCAGTAATTCATAAATTTTGACAGCCCTGAACCTGATGTCCTAATGAAAGCCACTAAGAGGGATGACCTTAGCCCAGTTATTCGTCCGTGAAGCAGACCCTTCACCGGGGTGGTCTGTCTGGACTCTCCTCACCATTCGAACTCTATTGCTGCCAGCTGCCTGCACACTCCCCGCTGACGTTGTCTCTCGTGGGCGGAGCTTTGCGGATCGATACGCGTTCATTGACCAATCGCAGTCCGCCCAGTGTTGTGGTGACGTGTACTAGTCGACTCGATCGCGGTCCGGGAGGTGGTCGACTTCACCATCGTCTAGAGGGCCACAGCCCCACGGCTACCTTATCTACCGTATCGTACCGTAATCAAGTTATGACTGCTCGTACCTTCTACCTGGTTCCGGCCGATGTGGTTGCTCAACCAACCATCGCCATTCCTCGTCCATTGGCGCCATCGCCAAGAATTATCACGAATGTTCCAGTAATGCAGCAAAAGTCTCCAAGCAGTACGAAACGACCAGCTAGTGTCGATCGGAAAAGACCACTCAGTGCTGATCCGATTGAAGTTTTACTGGGAGAGAATACGCAACCACATCAACGTAAACGTGAATGTCTGGATCATCTAACACATGAACAGAAGATGAACAGGCGAAAAATGAAGAACAGGATTGCAGCTCAAACAGCAAGAGACAGGAAAAAGGTCAGTTGCAGTTCCTTTGTACTTTTCGTTTTTCGAAAACATTTACATCGAAGCTTGTCGTGTATGAGTCACTACTACTTGTAACCTTCCTTGTTCACCTTACCCCCTTACTTGTTTACATCTCCAGCAATGGGACATTCTTGGTGGCCGATAGTGTTTTCCCGATTTTCGAAATTGCTTGTCAACGAGTGTAATGCGCAAGTGAAATCCGCTACTTATTACCTAAGTTTTGCCGTGAGATATGAAACACTCGTCAGGAGTGCACTTGACATGCCATTAGACGGATTGGCATTTCACTGCGTCACGCGTCACGCCGCCTTCTGTTGTAATGTGGGACTAAAACTTCATTTAAAAAAATCAAAAAGCAGCGAATATGCAAGCTAACGAATTATGCTGGTCTCAAGAACTCATTGTGGTTTTGGACGCACTCGGCTTGAAACCTGAAAATGTCTCCCCTAAACTGACTGAACTGATTGGGTTGAACCCTTTGCAAACTGGCTTCTAGTCTTGAAGCCAGTTTGCGAAGAGATAGAGTTCAGTCGTTTGTATCTGGGGTGTGCTTGTCTGCAATTCTGCGCAGCGGCTGGACTCCTCCAATTTTCAAGAGGAAGGGACATCCAGGGCAGATGAGCCACTTACCCATGCCAACTTTAAATGGTAAGTGGTTTACCCGCCTCAAAAGTTGCATGCTACTCTAGCGCTGACACAATATTCCAGACTGGCACTTCAGTCCCCAAGGTCTCAGGATATCGGCCAACCTTCCTTTTTTCCTTCCCTCATTTCTTCCCTCCTACTTTCCTGGTCCCTTGCAATGCTGTCCAGAATGGCTATGACCTTACTTTCCTGTCCTTGAAAGCTCGTCCAGAACATGCTATGAGAAAATGACTCTGGACCCTCACAGCCGGAGAACCTCCGTACTCGCTTCGGACGAGTGGAGTTGTGGGAATTTCAACTATTGAGCCTATCCACTTTGGCGTTCATTCTGTATAATTGCGAAACAGACACGCTTTTTCTCCTTGATTTGTCTGGATTTCATGTTTTCTGAATGGTCAGCAATAGCAAGAGCTAAAAAAATTTAGTTTGTATTAATCCTGATTTCGAAACACATCGATTTGCTTTCAGTACCGCAGCCAGCGCTTGGAGGACGTTATTCGTGAACTGCTGGAGCAGAATGAGATCCTGAGACAAGAAAATGAGCTACTTAACGCAGAGAATCGTGAACTGACTGAACAAAATCGTAGCCTGATTGCACGACTGGAAGGCACTTCTGAGGATGTCACTTGTCAAATCGAAGAAGTGGATCCAGTTGCGTTCGAAGAGGTGGTAACAGAGAAGAGTGGGACGGCCGTTGAATCTGCCGCATTCATTAGTGGACTCCTGCCGAGAGTACAGGTTGTCCCACTCTATCTTCTGTTTCATCTTATGATCAGCCTTCTGTGGGTGGTGGCTTGCTCCAGTCAGACGAAATCGAGAAAATCCTCAACGACTTCGCAGATGAGGTAAGTATTCAATAGTTATGTCAAGTTTCCCTGCATTTGTAGATTATGTCTGTCACGTAATAAATTGCATCGTTTGTAGAACCTCGACTTCGATCTCGACCAACTTGTCCAGCAACTCCCAGAAGAAGAGCAGCTCAGCGTGCAGTCAACAACTTGCACTGAGCTGTGCCAGCCATGTAGCTCGTCTTCCGGGGCTGCATCACCAGTGGATGAGAGTGTCTTGAATGTACCACAGTATGTTTTACTCCTCTTATTAGATAGTAGCCCTACAATGCAGCGAATCAATCTTTCGTTCTAGATGCAGCCCACCTTCTGCCTGCTATCCTAGCCCTACGAACTACTCAGGCCAATTGGACGAGCTATCATTGCTTGAAGATCAAAAGTTGCTGGACGACCCGATGCTGTCATCGCCATCCAATTGGCCATATGACAATCCTCATGCTTTGAGCCCTTTCTCGGATTCATTTCAACGTGAATTCTTCCAAATGTTGGAGTAGGTGTGGTTTAATGTCAACATTTCATACTTCAGTGGGCCTAGCCTAGTAAGTTAGTACAGTTGTGATGTGAAATCAAATCAACAGATTGTTATTTTTATTTACGTACGTGATATTGTGCGCTGTGCGCACATCTGTGGCTTTATGGGTGTTCCTGTTCGTATTGTGTTCAAATAGTTACCTGTAAGTATGTAGTCAGTTGATGACGTGTTGTAATAAAACTGTAATATTTTTTCTGAGACATAATCAGTCAGGACCCAGCTCACAGCGTTCTCGATTAAGGTACATTTGCGTAAGGGTGTCTGGGTAGGGTAGGTGACTCATTAACATCGCTAATAGCACCACCCTGAAGACACGTCCTTCCCATGTGGAGTGTAATAGCGCCCACAGTGAATGTCAGAGGAGCTATTGCGGAACCACCACATCCGGTATCTAAGACTTTCGTTGACGGGGTAACGACTAGTGACAGACCAACCAGGTCGAGTTATTTGACTGTTTTTTTTTCCAACTTTTCTCTGACTCGAGTAAGTCGGAGGGTTACATCTCATATATTATTGTAGGGTAGCACCATCAGTCTGGACGTTGATTGGAACCTATCCTGAATAATAATCATCAAAACATAAGTAATCCTGTCGTCAATCACAGGGTACAGCATCGTTGGGAAAATCCAATCAGGGGGAGTATACTTGATCATCAGATGAGGAATGAGGCGCTATTTGCTCAGTGGGGGGTCATCATCTAGTGTGCATAGGGAGTGCTCGTAGTCCACAATAAAGTCTTAATTTTCCGGTTGTTGACGCTGGACACAAATTTTCTTGGAGGAGAAACTGAAAAATTCCAGAATTGGAATAACTGGAAGGTTTGGAAAAATCCAGGAAGATGGTAAGAAAAATGCAGTCGTCATCCTTGCACTTGATAGTCAATGTCAGTGCGGCTGCGTGCGGCGCGGTCGTCAGCACCCGTACTGCACCAATCGTTGAACCAGAGAGTGACATTACTGTATTATATCCTTCGTGTTACTCGTTTTCTATCACTTTTTGTCGCATACGCGTTTCAACGAAAAGGCTGAGAAGGCTTCAAACAGTGTGCACGCTCCTTCTCGCCGACACGCCCCTATCAAGTGCAAGGATGACGACTGTACGTGGATGAGTAAGGGAAAGCAGTCTGTAGTAGATGAGGGAATTTTTTGTTGTTATTGGAGGGGGGGGGGGTCGCAGTGACACCGCCTTTCACACTTAGCCTTACATCCAAAGCTGATAACGACTCCTGCATTACTGTAGCTGTCGAACTCCATCGTTTTCTCCCACTCTCGTATGGCCGCAGTGGAAAATAGTTCAATGAGTAAGTCCCATTCTACACTATGAGGGACGGCATCCACCCATCCACACACGTTCTCTACTGGTTAGAGTTCATCACTGGACCGTCATTCGTCATGAACGTGGAGCACAACTCAACCCTTAACTTCCATTGCCAATACCTAATGTATGCTACCCAACATGATTTCGATTTTCTGTGTTCATCCGTCAAACTCATGAATGCGATGAGGTCACAGTCGAATACAATCCATCTTTTTACAGTATGCCCCACTTAGCGTCGTGTTTTCGTTGCCCCACATTAGAAAAAACTCGTCAGAAATTACCGGCTACTCTGGTAATGGGGGCACCATCCAACTAATAAACATCAGTTTCCTGAGCGTAACAGAAGCGGCTGGAATGTGAGTAAGGGTAGCAGGTTTTCTAGCCTGCGGGCGGGCTCCAAACCAAGACACATAATCGCGTTTGGTGAACTTTGCTATCTCACGACCTCTCCGCCTCACAAATCCCTACACAGACCGTCTTTTCTCTGGCCACCTTCCTTCTATGAAAGCTCATCAATCGCTAACGCTCAGCGAGTGGGAATGGCAGAGAGCTGAAACCACGTGAAACAACAGTCTGAAGTCCTTCCCCAACAACCAAATACGATCCTATGCGTCGTGTTTTCCACAAGATGTGTTGGGGAAGAGATGTGAACCCTACTCCAAACCGCTGCCAGGACTTTGCTTTTAGTGATGACAAGGGTGCTGAGCTATGAGCAAAAATGTTGACCCTAGTGAAGGTTCTCAGAAGCACCCAGCCAACTCTGTATAGCACTGTACTGATCCTAGTCCACGCGATCTTCGCCCTCACGAACACCCTCTTTCAGCCATTCATTGGGCGCTGTGCGCGCCACACCTAATTGTTGGCCGAACCTTTTCGTCCACGCGGGTCGTCGCGGCTCACGTTTCGCCTTCGTAGCAATCGCATGCGATCCATCAGAACTCGTGCTGGTACATCTCCGTTTGCTGCAGACGCTGAGGCGTTTTACGGGGTTCGATTTGACGTGGCCAATTTCCCTCCACTCAAGATCGCCATCCACCTTTACCAATTAATGCAGAGCGGCCGGGTGCAGCCCAATCCCAGCCCCCCCCCCCCTTGCCACTATCCGCCGCAGCAAACGATACTGTAATCGAGGAGTTCATCTGTGGCCTTTGCACTAAATAAAGCCGATTACACCGAAGTTCCGCGGTGAATAATGAACAGAATGAAAAAATCGATAAAAACCGAAACCAAGCCAAAATTATTTATTCCTGGGCAACCAAACACTCAGCAATATAGGTCACCGCACGACAACTACGTCGCGGCCATGTTTTGACGATTTCTGCCCGTCGCAGTCTACCTGACCAGCTTTATATGCCATTATAAAGATTCGGGGTTTCGAAAAAAACAAACAAAATTGCCCTAATTGGTAATAAATAACGTTTCAAATCACAGAAAAATATGAAAGGCGGCACAGCACAAGTGGAAGACAATAGTCGTGAGCGAAGCGAAAGAGAAGCTTGATCGAGGAACAATAAAATTAAGGAAAAATTCGACAACAAATCTAACAACAACAATTAAAATTCTACCGGTTAAGAACCGGTAACCAATTGAACTAGTGTCAAGTTTGTAAAGACATCGGGTAAACCAGGATATGCTATAGAATGATTGAACCCACTGGCAAAAGCTTTCTTCATAAATAAAAAGGGTAATCGCGACCAAATGAAGTCACAAATTATCGTAATCAAAGGCAAAATCGAAGGCTCCAGACTTCGGACAAATTTTTTGACAGCACTATGAAATGGATCATTTCAGGAGAGTTGCGCATTCAGCGAGAAAAGGCGCGCCAACACTGGTACTTTGAGAGGTTAATATACACCACAGATCATTATACAGATCCATCACACATGCCCTTACGGGAAGCTTTCACCATTCTTCAAAGGCCTTCAGTACAATTACCTCAGAGGTAAGATCCTCTCCGTGAACTCCATGGGCAGACACGCAACCGACGTAATTAGCCACGCTCGCCAATAGAAAAAGCGTGGTGCTGGAGCTGGACTAGTGATTGCTAGACTTCACAGATGTCTCCGCCCACAACACAATACGCCATACGACCAGAAGCACGCGCTGCTTGTCTGCGTCCTCCAAACGATATATACCGAATCTCTGAGATCCCGCTCCAATTCTACTGCTCGAAATTACCTCAGAGAGGCCTCATCTGCTCCATTCAAATCCATCGATCACTACCTCGGCGAGACTGCCCAAACAAGTAGTGCATAAGGCGTGGCCGTATGGCGGACCGTACAGCGGACGGAGACACCTGTACACTGAGCAATCACAAGCGTCTAGCTTCTTTGCATGAGGCCAAAACGATACTCTCCTGCTGCTGCATACTTTCACAACTTTACATGGAAAGGATCCGACCTCTCAGATAGTCGCAGAGTGTGCCTTTAAATCCCAAATCATCCAAAAAGGAGCAAATTATACATCAGACTATCATGAAGTTGAGTGATGTCAGCATCAATTACATGAGGAAAAAAGCAAACAAAATCCAGATTGAGATTTTGATTTTGCACTTTTTTGAACTCAAATTTTGACGGTGCCAGCTTGCAAAGACTCACGGTCTTTCTCAACCCTCTCCAAAAGAAAAATGAGGAAGTTACTCGGTTGCGTAGACTGGATCTGACCCATAATTAACCCAGTGGCTTCAGCATTTCTTCTTGTCATCCCGATCAGATCTTTGCCTTAATTTCAACCAAATCTCCTCTATTTCTAAAACCCTCTCCGAAAAAAAGCGTCCTTTTTTTTTTTTTAAATTTTTTTTTTTTTTTTTAAAACCCCAGCCCGTTTCCTTGATGACGCCCTGACATCACTAGCGCGAACAATGCTGAAAACCAAACAATTACCTAAAAAGGTAAACCGACCAGGAGCGCAATGACCGTCAATGCGCCCGAATGCCTATTTGCCTAACCATTTCCAGGGAGACATTTGTATTTAAATTCATTAAAGGCTCCTCGAACTTTCGCTCGTCGCTTCGCGAAAATCTTTCTGATTTTGAATTCAGGGAGGGTTTTCATCCTCATCACTTAATGTATCGTCTTCAATGTCAGGCATCGGGAAACGGAGAATGGCTGCGCATCCAGTAAGAAGGCTCAATTGCTCTCCTGAGACGTGCATCGATGAGAATATAAGCACCGTACCGTTCTGCAACATGCAAATTAGTCGTTTTGAAAGCAATCAATCCATGATAATTATAAAAATTCCAATGCAATGCTGCAAATAGTCGTCTTACAATAAGGATCTCACACGCCAGTCACCAAACGTCGATAAGCCGTTGTTTAGCACGTTTGTGACACACATGGTGGGCCACAAACTTTTCTCTCTACGCTATTTCATATGATTTATTTGGCATCTACTTCGTGTCCTGAAGTTGTCAGAACACCTTTTTGGACACGGAACATAGATCTCATATGGAAAGGAAAAAAAACAGACACAATCACTAGTTGTCACTTTAAAAAACGTCGAAATGATGTGCAGAACCTCTGAGAACGGCGGTCCGCAATCTATTACAGAACAAACTGTTTCTCCCAGGGGCCTTATTTTGTCCTAATCTGTTTGTCATTTACTTTTATTACTATTTTTGAGTGATACGCCAACTGACTGCTTTGCGGCCTGGTCTGCGATTTGTGGACATTGTCTGTTACTACTGCGATCAATAAAGTTGCAATTAGGGTCTGAAACTGATAAGCTCCTCCTTTGACAAACAGTTCGAGCTGTCGTAAATGAGACATGACGATAGGCCTATCATGTATTGCAGCGATTATCAACCCGAAGTCACGTATGGGAATGCTTAGAAGACCGTGTAATCAAACCCCTCGGTTTCAGGGTTCCAGTTGACCGTGGAACTCGTTCTTCTACGAGAAAGGAACATATTTTAGCAGCCTCACTATCAGCAATTCTTACATTCAGTGCCACATTAAAAACAACCCCGCTGCAAAGTTCCGCACTGGTAGGAGCACGAAAAATCCTCTTGTCTGTGAAATTTTCCCTCATTCAAATTCGAGAAGTGATTGCTTAGTACAGTCAGACCATTCGGCTTTGCCTTGTTCAGAGTGCAGTCTTGTTCGCTGCGGATGCTGGGGCGTGTCGAGGGAGGGGACCTGGGTTTGGCGCGGCGTCAGTCCGTTTTCCACCAATTGTTTTCGTCTGTCCGCTTGAACAATAGGTGGAGAACGGACCAAGGCCATGCTACCCCCCCCCCCCCAATGAACAGGACTGTAGGTAAATTACAAGAAATGTTTTGTGCGCTCCGCAGAAATCACCATCTTAATTGAGAAAAAACCCTGACTGTTTGATGATTGAAATGATTCCAGACATAGTGGGTGTTTCAGTAGTATCTTAAAAAGGAAGTACAGGACACAAGGGAAATTGGTGTTTGAAAAGATGATTTCACTAAATTTACCACATCATTATGGCGATACTGCAAAAATGAGCCAACGGAGTCACCAAAACCCACGAAGTTCGCTACTTTGATCACTGTAACGAAGCCACAAGGACTCTAGCCTTCTGCGTTGCTAAGTCTGAACCTACGAAGGGAAAAGGATCACTTAGTCGGGTGCGCGATCGCTGAACAGAGAGATTTTGTTGACCCAAGACGACAAAATTTTTCAGGAAGGTAACCCTGAATTCTTCTGCTGCATCATGAGGTCTGGGAATGGATTCCCTTGAGTCTCTGCTGCGGATTGAACAACCTCATCATGCCCTACTACCACTGCTATTTATCACAGTCTAGTAAAGAAACTTCGCTTTTCTATGGAACTCTTACCTGCTCTCGTACACTTTCCACAAGTGCTACGTAACGCTTCCTCGTTTCCAAATCTTGCGATCGAAAAAGTGAATCCGAAAGCAATAACGTCTCAATTGCTTGTTCCTTGTTTGCCATCATCACATGCCTACAACGACTCAACTGTATTATAACATTATTTCTTGCTTTTGGTATCCCGAAAGGCAATGCACACATAATGAATAAAGTGAGAAGTACGTTTTGAGTTAAGCCTATCTTCTCAAGAAAACCACATCTCAAGAAAGGTGGTATATTGGGAACAGGGCAATCTGTAGGTTGGTGGGGCTATTCGAGGGAGTTGTATTTGTGTCTGTCGGTGTGAGGAGATGGCATTACTTACAGAAATATTTTCGGTAATGATGTCTGTCGTACTGACTCTTGCGCTTTCCCTGTTACAAGTGGCATTACATTACTTTCCGCAAGATCAAAATAGAAACACTCCGGCGTAGGTGGTGGCCAACCTGACAAAGGGCGAAATTGGAAGATCGTAGGACTAGATGGAAACCTATAAGTGTAACAATGCGTGTTGCAGATTTATACCTGGAAGCCACTACTGATTACAGTTACTTCTAGTTCTCCATGCTTTCTGGGCAGTGTTATTCCGATGCACTGGGTTTTGTCTGTAACACCTCATAAGTACCAAAGATTTTTAGCGGCGTACCAGTCAGTAAAGGCGAAGGCGCTGTTCGGCTAAAGGGGAGGGCGGACTATTTTGCGTTTTCGTTAGATTCTAGGCCCTGCTAAATTGCACGTTTCACCCTGGTACGTTTTCAAAACGCTTCTCAAGCTCTACTGCACAGTCTTACAAGAATTTCCAGTTTTCCGCTACAGGCAGCTACCATTCGATGTGAGCCCAAAATGCCCCCACCAATTATGAACTACACCAATAATTATCCCGAGGAGCAATCCATACCGAAGACCTAGAAACTACTTTTTAGCTACTTATGTGCTGTTTGGAAAAAAGAAGGGTGCCTTTGAGAGGTCGGGGAAGAAAATTTTGCCAAGCATTAGACGTTTTCTTATTTGACTGAGTAAGTTCGATAACTAAGCGGTTTTTTGGTGTGTCGTTGGACCACATAAAGTGCTAGAATGGTAAAGTACTAGCAAACATCAATAACCTCGGCAAATGACTTGAGCATAGGACAACTTTGGCGCGCTAGCCTCGGTGACCTTTGACAAACAAAATTGAGTACATAAGGGTGGCGCGGTAAGAGAAAAGGAAGTTGACAGCTTACAGGGGTCTTCTCAGCCATTCTGAGCTATAAAAGTGCTTAGTTCTAGAAAATATGAAAATGAATGCGAGAACAGCTTACTTGTAACCGTAGAAAGCACGATCTGGTTCTGTTGACATCAGTTCGAAAAAGGTGTTCAGTGCTTTCACTTCAGCTTGTGCCTAAAAAAGTATACCTTTAAGGACGGAAAAATAACGGAATAAAGCACATACACCTTTGACAGGGATATTTTTAAAGACAGCCCCCGCGCTCAAGTAAGACATGGTCGTCCTTCCTTGTGCAAGTAGTCCAGCCCCCAAGCTAGAGACTGTCCCACTCTCGCGACTCCACAGTGAGCGAGGAGCGAGCTACAGCCGCTCAAAGTTCTAGTTCTAACGCCCATCTACTTGATAGATGCCCTCCGACGGAAAGCAGCTCAGTCGTTCCTTGTTGGGA